TGAAATTCTGAATTTTTTTATCCTGTATAAAAGCTTTTCCAAAAGGGCTGGAAAATACTAATTTATCTTTCTATCATTCTCCTTTTCTCTACATTTCACAGAAGTTCATTTTCTACTTTTCTGTCTCTCACATCCTTCTACATCAGGTCATTTTTCTTCCTCCATTGTTTTTAAAAAATTTCTTCTTATTCCCTCTTCCTTTCTTTCCTCATTCAGAATTTGTTTAGGGGGGAGACAAAATGTTAGCTGCCTACTTTCAGTATCATTGCAAAATAGATAAAATCAATAGACTTCTGGGGCTCTAGGGATATGCTGCTATAGAGAAACATAAATGTAATGCCTGTGCACTATAGGGAAGCTCTAGGGTTGAAGAGAGATTGTTAAGCACAAGGGAAGGACATACAAAAAAAGGAATTATACTGAAGGAAAGGCTGATTCTCTAGTGGTCCTTTGAATTCCCTTTTATCTCCTCATGTTTGGAATATTAGTCTTTAGTGATAATATTAGGAGTCACGGCTTGTAATTTCAAAAGGGATGGGCAAAAATAGTTTGTAAAACTGCTTTTAGTGAAATTGTTTAAATTCTGAATACCATAGAAAAAGCTTTAAATAAAATCAAACTATATCAGAAATTAAATGTTTCAGAAAATTGTGGAGTTTTGTTAGAAAATGGCAATATTTTGTTCACACTGCTCTTGGTTATGGTTTTATTCTACATCTCATATTGTTTTATATTATTTCCTACCACACGAGAAGTTATATTTAGCACATATTGCCACTGCTGGCTCTGTGCACTGGCAGGACAGATGACAACAAGCCTTAAAACCATCCTGCACCCCAGTCCAACTGATGGAGATGGAAATAACTAGCATGGTGTTTTTATCTGGTATGACAATATAGCATATTCTCTTATTTTTACCCAAAGATGGGTACTTATTTTTAAATCACTTTCCAAAATGCCATTTTATTCCTCTATGTGTTTATAAATCATCTTAGACACTTTGTGGTGTATAAATCATCTTATCTCTCTTTTTATGGTAAAGTAATTTTCAGTTTAATTTTCTCTCCTAAAAATGGGGGTAGCTGTTTTCACAGACTCCTTCAGATCTCAAGGGGTCAGCTATACTGCTGTTTCCCCTCTCTCCTGTTAGAAAGTTTTTCCAGTTGTCTCTGGAAATATTTCTTCCTTTGCTGAGCACTGCTGTTCCACCTCTCGGTCTTTAGACTTCTTGTGTCTTTTATAGCCTTCTAAAGACAGTGATAAAACTTTATACATTGTGTTATGAGAACCATTACATGCCCAGTTGTTTTAGTAGGTTCAGAATTAATCTTGTTTCATGAGTATTAGATAAAGCTCAGACTTGATACCACAGCTAGTGAAATCAGGAATGGGACACTGGAACTGACTAATGCTGCCAGCATCCAGAAGTTGTTCTTGGACTTACAGGGTCTCTTGAAAACTGTCTGGTTCTTTCTCTAAAAGAACCTGACACAATGACACAGGTGTCAGCAACTGGCCAAGCCTCTCAGGTTTAACAGGACTCGAGTTAAAAAGGCAGAATAGAGAGCTGAAAAAAAATAATTTTGTCTGGGTCAGTGATGTGTCAGAAGAAGCAGGTGCAGAATGGCTGTGGAGGCAGGAAATGCTCCCCTAGAGACAGGACTGTTTCCCATTGTTCTCAATTAGTCAGAGCTGCTCGATCTTTTGTTAGAAAGAGATAAAAGGCAGATTAAGAAATACAGTACAAGCTTTCCTGTGCTATTCTGGCTGATAGGAGAAAGACCAGACCACTCCATTCCACTGAAGATTACTCTTTTTTTTTTTTTTTGGTCTTCCTTTTCTTCAGATTGGGTTGAGACCATTTAAAAATGTGTCTCCGTGCACATGGCTCCGCAGGGCTCTGTTCACAAGGAGAGTTTATTGGCACTGCAGTGAACTCCATTACAGTTTAACACTCAACTATAAACAGCAAAACCC